GTCTACGCGTAACGTCGAATAATTGATTAACGCGTCGGCCGGTTCGCGAGCAATACGATCACTTTCCCCCCCCTCCCCCCCCCGTCGTAATGCAAACAGTATCGCAAAAAGTATTGGTTTGACGCGCGCGCGTTGTCGTCGTACGGCCGCACGGCATCGGATACGAGCGGACGCGACGGCGTAGCGCGAACGAGTGATGTTAACGTGGCCGGCCGCGCGGTCAGTCGAGCAGACGTATAAATTGTTATCGCGCGCGCGGGCGTAGCGCGATAATTAATCGAGTCCGCGTTCGTTTCAAACGCTCGATAAGACGCGAATAAGAGCGAAATCGAATTCCGTTCGAACCGACAACAGTTATTACCATATCGTATTGTATGTCCCGTGACCCGTAATCTTCATCGTTTCTCAGATTAGCGTATTGCACAACACGAGCGTACCGTAATAACATTTTGTTCGACGGACGCACGCTCGGGCACGTCGAAATCAACGACAATCGGAAAAAAAAAAAAACAACGAATTAATAATATTCGAATTGATACCGGCCGGTGGTATAACGCCGAACGTGGTCCGCGCAGCCGTCGATCATAATGCACATTACCCGTAATAAACGCAAACGGTAGGTATCCGATTCCGATATGTGTTTGTGCGCGGATGATTAACAACGGTATACAATCTGAGTGTACCGCACAATTAAAATGTTATTTGCTGAAAAAAAAAAAAAACAAACGAAATATACGAATCTGATAGTGTCTGGGATGCGATTTGATTATTGTAATGCCGTTGCACAGTGTTTCGTCAAATTACCAGAACACCGACAGTAATCCGAATAGAGTGTTTCGAATACTATTCAGCTAAGTATTCGCTAAATAATTTTTAACCATTCTGGATTTTAACGTGTTCAAATGCTGTTCGTGTACCGAAAAGTTTTAAAACGCGTTTCGTGCAGTAAAAGAAATATATCTTTTCTCGATCTCGTTTTTAGAGTGTTTCGTGCATAACTCTGAGACGCGTGCTTTATTCGATCGGCAAACGCTCGTTCAGTTTGTAAAAATACTCGCATTTGTTTACGCATCACTTGTTATAAATTATGCGTAATTTTCACCGGGTCGATTCAAAACATTTGTCGACATTGCCGGCAGTTAAAATGTAACGCGCGCAAATGTCACTGAGCATCGTATAACATCTATAGAGTTCCATCTAGTCATTCGAACCAGTGGCGTAGCCAGCGGGCAGGTCTGGTAGGCCTGGGCCCTACCGTTCACTTTTCTCCGAAATTATAATTATAATTTTAAAATAAAAAATAAAAGAAAAAAGAACTGAAACTGGAGACGGACGTGGCCATTGTTGTGGGTGGGCAGTCGGAAAGATGGGGTACATTAATTTATTGGATTTGTACACCTGTCACCAACGATAAACCATCGACAATGGAAAACGATTCGGAGCGAATTTCGGTTATACATGTTTTGAATTACTTTCTCTTCAGAACAATATTTTTTGTAAAAATTTAAAACGACGAAATCGTCGCGTCGTAATTCGGGAAAAAAATCGTAGTTTTCGGTTTTGAATATCGAAAAAAACGATTCCTTCTGTCAGCGGGAATCGGGGAAAAAAAAAAATCCGCGGAACGCTCGACAACATTGTTGTTATCGATTCACGGCGGCAAAACGACAATTCGCTGTCGTTGCCGCGAACCGGGTACACGGGTCAAATATTTGTGCCGTCTACCTGCAGCGGAATTCGACAAAACCGTCCGGAGGGAAACGTTCGACGGTCGCGGTGACACGTCGAACTCGCGTAGTACGCGCCGCCGAGTGGAAACGCGTGCGTTACGATTTGCCGGGACCTGACCGGCCGCAGCCGACGTTATCGGTTCGTGTCCGTAAAATATTTTCGTCGTCGTCGTACGGTACGTTCGGAACGGTCGAGTCGCGTCTTCGCCGGCTGTTGGGCGGATAACCACGCGACGAAATTGGGTTACCGGCGGCTGTTACACGGCTGTAGACCGCTCGGTGTGCGTGGCGCATGGTTATTCCGTGTACGTGAAAACCTTTACACCGTGTCGGTTACGGTTAATCCTCGCGGCGTACCGAGCCGCGGCCGCGTATTACAGCGCGCGTTACCGATCCTTTGTTCTCGGCCCGTGTCGATTTCGGCGACCTTGGAACCGATATTATCGGAACACATTACGTGCGTATGATGTTCGACAAACGCCGCCTCGATCCAATCAAATAGACCGCGGCTCGTCTACAATAAAATAACGATAATAGTACAAAATATCATAATTCCAATAACGCGGTTTATAGTTTGGCCGGGCGCCCGTAAAAAGGGCCAAAGGTCGGACGCCAGAGCGTTTCGGACGTTCGGGTGATTGTTTTTTCTTCGGATTTTTTATCGGACTTTAAAATAACACATTTTAAACGTTTCACTTTTACCGGATTCACGCGGAGAATATCGACCGAGATATCGTACATAATCGCACGCGCACGTGTTTTGCGCCAGATCGCGGCGAAGAACGTATTGCAGGTTTTACAATGATGTTTATTTTTTACTTTTTTTTTTGCGGCCATTCAGTTAAAAATATTCGAAGAGATTCGAAATTTCGACAGACTACTTATATATCTGCCTTTTCTAAACGCGGTAAACACGTTTCGAAATTGCAGTAGAGGGGATTATCCCCCAGACACGGATATAATTTCGATAAAAAGGCGATACCGCTAATAGATGTACCTTTGAAATAGGCATTATGATTTATCAGGATCCCCCCTGGAAAAATGTTGAAAATCCGCTAGGCCGATTACGCTGTACACTATTGTAGCACCCACAGGCTAGCACTGTTTCACACCTGATATACGTGACTACGGTGTAATATCGTTCGATTCGCGTGGCACGCAACGTGTATTTTATCGGTGAAGACATACGTTATGGCGAATAAAATATTCGTGATTAAATTCCGCCCACCGCGAGGGGTCTGCCTGTATATTTATAATCGCATGACCCGAACGACTGATTGACTGACCGGCTCGCTGACCGATTCGTCGTCGCCTAGCCCAAACCGCTGGACGGATCGAGCTGAAATTCGGCATACGGATAGTTTTTTTTTTTTATTTTCGGCTCTATTAACTACTAGTCTGCCACTGTGATAGCTTGAAAATTACAATAATAGACACGAAACGTATTAAATAATAAAGCCAGCTTCCAAAACAAGAGTGATAATAATTTTTATGGCACTTTCAGATTTGGTATTGAGAATGAAATGAAGATTGAAAGAGATATTGAGGTTTTGAGGGGAGTAATTGAAATAAGGCCTGTATTTTTTTGTTAAAAACAACTTTACAAAAGAACCATATTATATTGCCATACATTATAGACACGTGCATGCGTGTATCTATACTATTTACACTAAATGAAGTATAAATAAACTGTAAAATATGCTTTTTGTGAACGGTTTTCTGAAAAATATGACTTAGCACATCCCGTTCCCCTTACCAATTCTCTGGGGCCACCTCTGCGCACGAACGCGCCGTACACACACTTGACGGCTTATAGAATCAATTAAAGTCATTCTAATCGCAAGCATACGGGAAGAAATTTAACCTTTACGCCGGCAAGTTTAATCTAATCGCGCGAGCAGAACGCATATAGAGTGTCACCGCGTCTGATTCGATAAGTGCGCATGTTCTGACGAGGACGCGCTCGTACGGTATTGCGGTAAAATTATTATAATTAGCGACCGGATTTCAATGAAAAATGTATTTTTATGTATGTTGTTTTTTTAGCGCTCCGGTGACAATACGTCCCCGCGGTAACACGTGCAATTCGATTCGGGTAACACGAATTTGTATCCGTTTTTTTTGTTTTTTTCTCGAATGTTTTTCGATGGTTTTTACACATTAAGATAAGTACAGGATTTTACCTGTAACATAATAACACCAACAATCGTACGAATTTACAAGTCTTGTACACAGTTTTCGAGTATTTTATCGGCCGAACCACAGTAGTGTTATTACGTTATTGTGCCCGCCGAAACGGCGTACAATGTGTACAATGTACAATCTGCAGAGGCGAGAGTCTCTGTGTTTTCGGACGGGTACGTTTACAGGTGGGACAAGTGGTTTTTTTTTCGGTGGGGAGGGGGAAGGAGGGGCGGGATAAATCGTATATATGTTTAGCACACGGTTATAATATTGTATTGTACCTACGCGTATATACAGTCGGGCACGTTGAAAAACCGCCGCCGCAGACGCGTTCTTTTATTATTACGCGCACAAACTCCCGCGCAGCCCGGGGACGTCTTTTCGAAACATTATTACCGTACCGGCGGCGCGGCGGTTTATAACGTTCGGACGGGGTGTGCTCTCCCGCGGGGCCGTCTAAAACTCGCGTCTGGCACCGGACGCGTGTTTACAGACCCTAACCGCGCTCGGCCCGAGCGGCCGAACGGGTCGGTTCCGGGAGTTTTACACGAATACGCGCATTTATCCGGCCGTCGTCGGCCCGAACACCGTTTTACCGTCCCGGGGAACGAGGCCGCGGTCAGCGTGCCGCGCAAACTTCGTATAACACAGGACCTACGGTTTATAGCGGTTCGAAAAAAAACCGCGACGGTTTCCGGCGTGCGTTCGAATGCGTCGCGGCAAGCCGCCCGGGGGCCGAGCCCGGACAGGGTCTGTAAACGCGCGAACCGGAGGGATCTGTGTGCGCGTCGTGTGCAGCCTACAGCGGCTGCGGCGGCGGCGGCGGCGGCGGCGGCGGCAGTGGTCGTCGTCACCGCGGCGGTGTGGCGGAGATTGCGTGTGCGCGCGCAGCCGCGACTCGACCGATGAATCGTATTATAATGTACACACGACTGCTATAGCTGCTGCAGCAGCGCACGCCATGTCGTGTATACACATTTACACACACAAATACACGGTGTCTGCCACACTAGGCCTCGGTATCGTTACAAGACGGGAGAAAAGCGAAAAAAAAAAACAAAAATTCATATTACATGCACATTTATCCGACGTCGACGACGACGACGACGACGACGACGAGCAATTAACTGTGTCTAATGTTAGCCTCCTCTCGTCGCCGTCGTCGCCGTCGTCTCCATCGCGTCACGAGCGTAATTATATTATTAAACCTCGTCATTCCCGTGCACCGCGAATTAATAACGTCGCCGTTTCGCGTGTTCGTCAAGTCGGCAGATTCTCCACGGCACTGTCGCCCCCGTGCGCGATTTCAGCGTATCGCGAAAAATTTGTAAACAACGAAACCGTTCGCGCCGAAAATTCGTCCGATTTTGTTTCACGTATTTTGTTCACCGATCGTTATGGAAAACGGTTAGACAATCAACGTCCGACCCGCCGACCCGTCAATAAGAACCGAAACGCAACGCAAACGGTCTTTTAATCTTTTGATTGGAGCGAGATTTCCGGTAGAAAAGCTGTTAACTGCAGATATATTATAAAAAAAAAAAAACGGGCATACTTCGCACGTGGGTGCAGCCACTGTTGTAAGCGGGAAGTTGGGAAAGCGGGATAAATGCGGGAATTGAATGTATATCTGTATGCAACGATAAACCGTTGCTAACGAAAAATCGATTCTGATTCGAGTTCAATTGATATTGTTGCTTTGTCAACAGTATATATATATATATCATATTATTATGGTAAATGGTTACAAACTGTGTACGTTTCCATGATAACAATGATTGTTTAAAACAGATTAAAATAATAAAAACTTAATAATAACGAAAAATAAATGAAAACGGTTGCCAATGGCAACCTTATTTTTAATCTTTCAATATTTTTTAGCCTAAAGAACCAGGTTTCCTCATCATCTCGAACATTAATGCGAATCGTAAAAAATGATTTCTCTAAAGTACCACCCGGAGAACACGTCCTTTCAGAAAAGGTTCTTTACTTGATAATCGGAGTAAGCTTTCTGATAGAAAAAGTGTTCACATAAAAAAAAATATAATCATTCTTATGAAACCAATACATTCTTTGCTAAACTCAGAATCTGAAAAAAAAAAATAATTAGCATGTCATAGTGAAACTGCAATATATTCCTAGTTACGTTCAGAATCTAAAATGAAATCCGTTATATGACGAGCGAGGAAAAAAGGTCGGGGTAATTTAATTAAATCGTTTCCTCCCACTGCCGCTTCCGCAATGCGTATTATAATAATAATATTTTTCATTGAATGACATTTATGTAAAATATCGAACGGATTAACATATTTTAATTAATAAGTTGTTTTTTCAATCATTGTTATTCCGGGTATCAATCAATATTGGCACAATAATTGACACACAAATACGATATCGCATTATTACAGTTAATCATTATAATGTGAATATAAATACGCACTTAAAATATGTGACCAAGCATAAGACAAATTTTCCTTAGTATTCAAAATTGTCGATTTTAATTCAAGTGTAATGGCGATTTTTATCAATTTTTCCACGGACGCAATAAACCGAAATCGAAATAGATACTGAAAATTCTCCGCAACCGCGAAATCTTCCAGTACGACATTGTTAAAAAGACCTAGACAGTCGAAATTCGGTACACTTATTCGTCTGGTGTTTTTGGAGCAAAAAAAAAAAAAAAAAAAAATAAAAAACGCAGCTTTTGAATTGACAAAGTTAAAACGCCAATAAAACACCGTAGTATATGTGATTAGCATTTCACGTTTGTATTTTTCGGTATATTTTAGCATAACCGTAACTTTGGAACGACCGGAAGGATGGAGATGGTGAATGTCCATAGGTCCACAGGTCACGTTAGAGGTCAGTGGTTAGGACACGGCGTAAAGATGTCACTATTTCAGCTGCTAATTATTGTATACATAATGATAATTACGTTTATTATAATAAATACTCGTATAAAATATAATATCCTCGAAAATTTACGTGCCGATCCTAAAGACGGCGGTTCGTGTCGATTAATTTCCCCGCTATAGTACCAGGCGTGTAATTATCGCGCTCATTATCGGTTTGATCGAGTCCCGTCTGCTATACTGCCCGTCGTCGGCGAAATTCAAATCCGATTTGTTTTTTATAGGAAAAAAATAACAATAACATCTTTAAGTACTTATAATAATAATAATACGCTAACGCAATAAATCCGAACGGAAAATAAATCCGCTGCGTGCCATTAGATCCGTGTCGACAATAATAATAAATTGTGCGTGTTTACACCGCTGCTGCGGCGGTTGTTGCCGTTGAACGTGTATATTATTAATTCATCTATGGGCGTGACGGATAATGCATTTCGCAGTTTTCCGTACGATTGAATACACACGCCGACAGATAGCTACGGTGTTTTACGATAATAATAGTAATAATAATGATAATTTACTTACTTGTAATTAATAGTCATTGGGCAGGTATACGGGCGTCGCGGCTGTGAACGACACGTAAGCCGAACGCCGCAAATTCTAATCTTGTTATATACACGGTACGATACATTTGTCGCGCGTATCGTTTTACGTTAAAATGAACAGATGACAATACACGATATTGCAATGCGCGTATAGTACGTACGCTAACGACCTGGTGATAGAAAAACAAAAAAAAACAAAAAAAAAACACTGTCAGAGATGTCCTCAAATATCACGAACATTACCGCCGGACAAAGAAGCGTTTACACGATGAAATAGTCGGCGGTTTTTTTTTTGTAGGTATACATTCGTCTTTCTTTTTTTTTTTCATTTCTTCTCATAACGCACGAGCAAGAGATGAGCGATACCGAACATTAAGAATTCGATACTCCATATTATCGTAGCAGTCGGTGTGTGTACTCGACACTTTGAAAATATTCATACACAAACCGTGAATATTATTATATTTATTGTATTGTAAAACAAAATCTTTATAGAATTTGAACGCAAAAACACATTTTTATAAAACAAAACAAATTACCAACCTAAGTGACCATCACTTAACACTCAAACTTAATACGGGGACGGCTCCAGAGACTTGGCTGGGCAAGACGTATTTTTTAAAAAAACTAAAAGCATATTTTATATAGTTTATTTATACTTCATAATATACAATATAGTAGATACCTTTAACAACACACTTGTACGTGTCTGCAAAAGTCGATAGTGTAATATGGTTTTATTTTTGTTTTTTTTGTAAAGTAGTTTTTAACAAAAAATACGGGCTTGGAGGGAGCGCGACTCCTAGTCCCCCTCCGGAAACGCCCCAGACATAATAATGAAATATCGAAATCGATACCGAAAACTGCCTCGATTGTCTGAAGTATCGAAGGCATCCTTAGGTGATAGGTATCGAATTGCCCATCCCTGATTTCTATCGTTGGTCAATTTCGAGTGTACTGATATCACAATGGTCAACTTACACTCTTTCAGACACTGCTCGCACACTTCTCCCCAATGGCGAAGACAACGATACTAATAATATTCCTCTAGCGTATTTACAAACTAACTGTATTTGCGAGTGCTTCGACGGCATGCACCTATTTGTGATTTGATTAATATCTAATCGGACGGTACGTTGTTCAAGCTGTATCGTACAAAATGCGGGTGTATGATTAATATACGACCCCGCCGATTAGGGCCGAATTCGTTCGCGTCTCGTAAACATACCGAACTTGTCATCTCCTACATACTACTCGAATAGCATTAAGTCGCCGGTAACGTTATAAAATACTCAATAAATTATACTGTACGCGTATCAGTGTGTAACCGAATCAGTGGCGTATTCACGAGGGAAAGAATATGGAGATATAGTAGTATAATATCTTCCCCGTTGACCCTTTTTTTTTTTTTTTTTTTTTTTTTTTTT